GTGATCTCTTTTTATCTTCCAAAAATGCAGAGAAAGTAGTGTCAGGAAAAGAGCAGGCACTGGAGGAGAAAAATAAGAATTTTTTAGCATCACCATATAAAGCACATTTCTTCAAAGCGGTTGCACTTGTGATCCATTGCTAATGTAAATATTGCTTGGAAAATGAGGGCAGATTATTTTGAGTCTAAAATCTTTTAAAATTATATACCTTCTTAATGGACTATAATATTTTTCCTATAGCACTCCCTTCACTTCAGCATACTGTTGCAAATTTTTCAGTTTATATGTAAATATTTTGCCATTTAAACTAGAAGCATCTTTATGAAGTGTTACAATAGACTTTGCTTCACAGGCATGCCACCAGTTCCACGAGGTGTGAATTAGAAAGAATAGACAAAGCATTTGAACTGAATTTGAGCCTTGGAAACTCAACCTCAGCTTTTGGTGCTTTACTGTCTGTTTTTAAATAGAATTGATCATTTGTAACAATGCTAATGAGCTCAGAAAATTCAATAGCGTCTTAAAATCCCTCAAAAGTCATTTATTTCCTATATGACAGTAAATAAATACTGTAGCATTGTATACCCCACATTTGCAATGAGGAAAGGTTGAAAATAGCATAAGGATGTGGTAAGTCAAGCTCAACTTGACAATTTTTCAGTTGTTTTGTTTAGCAACAAGAGCTACCAATTATTGAAACTATGATAGATTCTTTAAGAAGCACCTGATATCATTTATCTAATTTTTATTATATGCTAGAGGGATGTCTAATCTTATTTTTAGGGTTTAGTGAGAGAAGATTCAGACACATCCTATTTGACTCAGCTTTAGAAAGCCAAAGGAGAGCCACCTAGATGGTTCTTCGGCAATCTCGAAAGTATCCAAGATATTTAGGTAGTATCTCCTAGTATACACAGGTACGAACCATAAACTCAAAATTAACAAAGCACCAAAAGCTGAGGTTAAGTTCCCAAGGCTCAAAGGGCTCTGATCTGTGTCACACCCTCTTCCTTTGCAGAGGCATATTGTATCCTCAGGAGGGGTTCCAGAAGAAAGAGGATTGCTAAGCACTTCCTAAGAACCAAATCTGGCTCCTTTTCCTGTCTTGCCTGGCCAGTATTCTCTACCCAGGTTAACATTTTAGGATGTTCTAGATGAGAGTAGAAGAGACTCTTGGAATCCCCATCATATCTACTTGTATGAAAGAAAATGGATGCAAATGTATGGAGAGCTAAATCCTGACCAGAGAGGCATTGTAAGGTCAGCAGTACTCCTGAAACTTTCTCCTTTGCTATTTCTCCTTTTTCTTTTCTTTTCTTTTCTTTTCTTTTCTTTTCTTTCTTTCATATTCTTTTTTTTTCATACCTCACCCCTACTCTTCCTCTATGATTTTTCTTGCATCAAGGGTCTACCCTAGTGGTGGTGAACCTATGGGATGCATGCTGTAGCCAGATACTTGTTATCACTGAAAGCTCTAAAAGGTTCATCATTACTAGTCTACCCCATTAGTTCCTTAGGGCTGCTCTTACCTAGGTGCTAATTAACTTCAACTACTAGTTGGTAAGAATTTTCTCTTTAAGACAGTATGTCTATTTTAGTGAGGAACTCACTTTTTTATTTTGAAGAGAATAAAAAATAATTTTAAAAAAGAAACTACAGAACTTCACAAAACAAGATGAGAGGAATTCAACGATGCTTGTTAAATTGTAAATTATTGTCTTCAAATCAGTGTTGAACTAATGGAGATTCCTGTGAAACACTCTTGCAACAGAATGAATTTCAAATGCTAGACTCATAGGAATTAATTTTGGACAGGGTTTCTGCTCAAGACCTGTTCATTAGATTATTCATATTTACAATAGTAGGGACACATATTCAATGAAAACAAAATGAATTACCACAAGGCAGAACCCAATTTTATCATAGTGATAGTTGAACCACAGTCTCTTCAGTTCACGTAAGCTTACTTATTTAATTCCTGAAGGCTCATATTCATATGCCTTTAGATAAGCAGGCATTTATGCCTATGAAGGTGAGTAGTAGTTTCTGTAAATATGTCTATACATCTTTGATAAATTTAGTCTTCTGTTTTATTAAGCCTGTTCAGAATTTCAGTATTGAAAAGGTTTAATTTATTAATATAAAGTGTGCTGAATATGTGAAAAGATTTCTGACTACTTAAATTCTATCCTTTCAGAACTTCTTCCTCTTCCTGTAATCTGCTTATAACCCAGGTAAACCCTATCAGATATGCTGCTTCTGTATTGTCTGCTATTTCCTGGAAAGGATTTGGGGACCACTTATCGAGCATAACCTTTGTTCTCAAGAACAAAAGGAATATTCCCACAGGGAAGAAGATAGATTTTCAGAACCTGTATCTTGCATGGCTCTGTCAAAATTTTGTAATCCTAGATGCAATTTTGTGGTCCAAGTGGCTTTGTCATTTCTTTATAGGAACAGGGGAGGAATCTAGTGATACAAATCTTATTTAGCATGTGGGTAGATTATTGTCATTATTCTATTTCTTTTTGTTTATCTTTGTATATTTCTTCACATTGTTTTATACCCACTTGTGTTACCTACCTTTATCTTCATTTCCTTCTTTTTTAAAAAAATTCTCTGGTCAGTAATGAAAGTACCTGTTGTAATACCACACCATTCCTTTGTGTACATTTATCATGGCTAAAATATCTACCACTGATTAACACCAAATACATGCCAGGTACTTTGTGAGTTTTATTTCTATTTGTGGTGGATTAACTAATGGTCAACCACACTGATTCAGTTCAACTGTTGAACTGAATCAGTGTGGTTTTGGGTGTGGAAGGCCCACTTGAGGATTGTTGTTAACAGCATAAAAAGAGAACTGGAAGGGAAGAAGATGAGGTGTTGATTCTCCTGGAGAAGGTTGTCATGCTGGTTTTCCTCATATAAACTCAGCTGTTCTCATCATCAGAGAAGCTTGGGTCCTCCCTATCACGGAGGTTGGCACCGTTCTCTTTAGGTGAGCTCTGGTCATTACCTTGAGCTTCGCTTCCTGGTTCCAATGAAGATCCCTCAGCCTGCTGGAACAAATCCTTCATCCTGCTGGCGCTGACTTTCTAGCTTCCACTACCAACCTTTGGGCCTTCCCAGTGCAAGTCCTTGACACAGACTTGCATGAGACATTGTCGTGAGCTCTAGGCCTCCAGATGAACCCTTGGAGAACATTGCCATGAGATCCAAGGCCTCATCTGGATTTTTTGTGTCTCTAGGGCATGGACAGATCTCTGACATTCTTCTGCATTTGACTCTTTGGGTGAATATTATAAAATAATCCTATAAATTATATGGTCTGTATTAAATGTATTCCTCTGTGTGTCCTGACTACAACACTATTCTTTTATAAAACTATGTGACGAAGACATTATTTATAAAGGGAAAATAAGATGCTACACTTTATAAACCTTGTTGCACAGTACTAAATAATTAAATTATGTTAAAGTCCATAACTTTATTATTTATAGGATACACACATTTGATATGTATTGAGCATCTCCAATGTCTTTGAATATCATTACAATTTTATAAACATGAAAGTTAGATTGGGGGTTCAAATAATTTATAAAGTGAACCTTTATATGTATATAATATTTATAAACCTAAAGATAACATAGTACATTATAAATTGTGTATTATATACTATTGATATTATAAACATATATTTATAAATATAAAATAACATGTATTTTATAAATAGTACCTTATATTGTATACATTGTATTGTATACTATGTTAAGGATAACATTAGTGTTATATGTAACACATGGTATGTAAGTAAGCTACTGAAGCAAATTTTTTAAGTACTTTTAAGAAATTGTAATTTAGCTGTATCTTATTCAGTTTGAAATATTGGGCATGAGTCCACTTTGAAAGAAAACCAACAGTTGAACATCACAAAAAGGAATTTATATACTCATTTATTTATTTCAATGTGCAATTTCTGGCAAAATGCATTACAAATATCTTGTCGTATCTCTTTGCACTCACTAAAAACAACAGTCATCTTTATAATTCGGTAATGTAAGGCATACTTCATCAAGAGAAATTTTAACATTGAAATCAAAACAGTGAGTCAGATTTTCCCTAAGATGAGATGCTCCCTTTTGCTATTTTAAAAATACAATCCAAATGCCTTTAAAAATGGCATATCATTGTACTGTAGAAATTTATATGAATTGATGCTACTTCTCAAAGTGCTTGGCGCATAGTCTAGGGAAAGAAGAAAATTTGTAAGAATCCGACTGTGAAGCAAATTGGTTTTTTTTACATGTACAATAGGGTAGCTCTCACTAAAAAACCTCTGCCAGAAATGTCCACTCAATTTAGTAAATAAAATAAGTTCCAAGAGTCTGTGATCTTATAATTGAAGACATGATTAATGGGACACAGGTTGTCTTTAAAATATCCAATGTAAAAATTTATTGAGTTTTGTTAAAAGCCACGTAAAGAACATAAAGGATGTATACACTTCATAAAAGCTCACTGATGATAATACACAATGAAATCCTCCTGGACACACATGTTTTTAACTTTAACATCTTAATACCAGCAAACAAAGAATACAATTTTCAAAACTATTCTGACTGAATCAGGAGCAGGATTTTATTCCCTGATTTTTTTTTAAAACAGCATCTTTTCTCTGTGATGCTGGTGCATAAAGAAATTGCTTAACAAAAGTACCTACAAGTGCTGAATTTAATGTTCAGAATCAAAACTTTACTACTAACTCTTATGATTTACCAAGTTTCAAGCTACTATTTTCTCCTTTATTTTTAAACTTAGGTCATAAAATATAGGCTTAAAATAACTTTTTGAATGTTTTTAAAATGAAGAGGTACAGCAAGAACATTTTATTTTTAAAGACATTATCTATTCTGGGACCTTTACTTGTACTAAATTTAAAACAATTTTTACCACAACAATTTATAGGGACTACTAACAAACATAGGACACACAGAGTCACACTTTTACACTAGAAATGAGAAGGGCACTGTTAAAGTGTACAAGAAAACAGTATAGTATGCATAAAATGGGAACTAGAAAGGGACATTGACCTCTAAAGGGGGAGGTAATGCAGGAGTTCTCTGTCTAAAATGTCAGCTGCATTCCTCTTTCCATAGGTATTGGATCCCACATTAGTAGGCGGGAGAACAGCGCCAAGGTGGTGGCTGGAACGAACCAAAAAATGTGTCAGGCGTTGGGTAGCACAGGTGGCAGTGTTGCATTTCCGTTTGTCCACATGATGGCTGGTGTCACTGAACAAATATGAAAAATTAGAAACTTATAATGAGGATAGGACACAACAATGAGACACAAAATATCTCATGGGGATGAGCTAAAGGAAATATTTTCACAGTAGTTTTGGTTTGTAAATTTCTGGATGACCGTTAGTTTTTACACTTTAAAGATGCAACAGAATCAATTTTTGAAGAGGAAATCACAAAACAACTTTCTTCATGGTCAGTGTTGCTTTTCCCAGTATAATTCTATTTTTTTTGGAAATTCAGAATACATTCTAAATAATCATAATAACAGTGTGTGTTTACCATGTATCCTTCAATGTTATTGATGAATTTATTTTTTTTATACATAAGAAATGTTTAAAATGTAAAATTTGTATCAATTCTGGAATATATGAAATTTTTAAAATTATGAATTTTCAATTAGTAAATTTTATTCAATTCCTTGAGATAATATAAACAGGAATGTTAAGGGAAAAACTGTTAGATAGAAATTCTGTAATATGCAACTATCTGAATAAACTTTGAGAATATTATGCTCTTTAAAATAAGCCAGTTATGGGAAGATAAATACTTCATGATTACACATATATGAAATATCTAAAACAGTCAAATTTGTGAATGAGATAATAATATAGTTGAATAATATTTATCAAGAACTGGTGGAGGAAGAATTAGAGTTTATTAATCACTGTACAAATTGTTCCAATCCAGGAAGATCCATAAACTGTAGAAACTAATTGTAAAATACTGTTTCTAAGTGATAATACATTATACACTTAAAATTTTCTTAAAAGGGTAGAGGTCATATTTAGTGTTCTTCCACAATAAAATAAAATGTAATAATACATGAAAGAGACAATCGCAGATATTATGTAGTCTCAAGGAGAATCAACTTTATCACCCATTCAGGCATCCTTTGCAGTGTGGGAGTTTTCTTACTCTTAGCATGAATACATGAACATTACCACCTTCCTGTTACTGACATGGATCCTATGCATTTAACAGTTTTTGACAGGACTAAGTTAAACGTTAAAACCAAAAGGCTTTTATATCAATGGCATTGATATTCAGCACATTTTAAGTTGCATATTATAAAAATGTTAGAAATCACAACTCTTCAATGATTTAAAAATCCATGAATTTTAACTTCTGTATTTTAAAAATTTGTACCAACTATATTTTTGTACCATGTTTTATTTCAATGTGTAAATAAGACAGTAAACAAACAAATAAACAAAAAACAAAACGTCTGAGCTGAATCAACTTTAAAAGAAGAAAAACCTTATTTTGGCTCACAATGTGGTGTCAGTCCATGGTTAGGTGGCCCTGTTGTTTCTCGGTCTGAGGTAAGGAAGTAGTACATCATGGTGGGAGTGTGAGGTGGAGCAAGATGCTTGTGTAATGCTGGTGGGGAAGCAGAAGAAAAAGAACCAGAAAGAAGAGACTCTGGTTCCATAACCTTCTCTGAGAACACTCCTCCAGTGACATAGAACCTCTCCCTAGGGCCCATTTCTTTTTTTTTTTTTGTTTTTTCTCCGGTACCGGGAACCGAACTCACAACCTTTCGCTTGCCAGGCAGGCGCTTTTGCCACTGAGCTAAATCCCCAGCCCCTAGGGCCCATTTCTTATAGCACCCACTACCTCTGAATAGCACCATGGGCTGAAGACCAAGCCCACAGTAGACATGGGCATTTAGTGAATGTGCCAGATGCAAGCTATAGCAATGTGCTTTCAAAATTGTGGGTTTTTAAGAAATATATATTACACTTTATTTTTCTATTTTAAAGAGCATAAAAAATAATTTTAAAAAATCCAAACAATACTGAATCCACACTTGTTACCTCTGCTTGCTTCTTGCTGATTATTATTAGGAAAATGCTTTAGTTTTCAGCTTCATGTAAATTAAAATACAGTGAAACTTTAGATAAACATAAAGTAGAAAGTGATAGTTATGGAGCTAAAAATTTGATGTCCAGAAGTGAGTCAATGTGTACAACATGGGGCTGTCTCAATACTTTTACTTTGTATGCGGGAACATTTTATTATCTGTCTCTATGGAGAAATAGCCTAAATGCAAATGTTTAAAATTTCATGTGAAACTATTTCTTCCTTTTTTTACTGTCATACTTTCTTCAAGATATAGAAAACTCTTCTGCCAGTGATATGCAAAATGGGTATTTATTAAACGTAAATATAAGATGACAAAGCAACTAGGCAAAGGGAACCCATATTGGGACTTAAATCTGTATCCATGACGTTCATACTATCTGTGCAATTATATCACTTTAAAGGCATGGTAACCATGGACATTTTGCATTTTAAAAGAATGACTTAATAGCTTAAGTAGATGTTCAAGAATTTCCAAATATTGGACATTACATTCTAAAATATGAACTTTTCTTGAACAAAACAGCAGGAATTGAAACTTGGCCCAAGTGCTACAAGCTAATAGATTTAAATAAACAGAAAATCATTATTGAAGTCAGGACATTCAAAGGAGTATCTGGCCCAAGATATGTTTAGCAAATGCCTGGAGTGGGATTGTGAAATACTCTAAATGCTAAGTGTTGAGCTGTATTTTAATAATGAGTTAGAGTGTCAATAATAGTATTTAAAATCATTTTAGGTAAAATGTTGTCTTATTTGATTTATCTAGAAGTGCCATTTTTCTCTGTAAAAGAAACAGTAAGAGCTTTTATGGGGTTCTTTGTTTGTTTGTTTTGCTTTTTTGTTTTTTTGTTTTTTTTTTTTTCTGGTATCGGGAATCGAACTCACGACCTCGCTCTTGCCAGGCAGGATGTGCCGCTGAACTAAATCCCCAGCCCCAACCTTTTATGTTTATTTCATAATTGTGCAACTCTTTTCCTAAACAAGTTCCTTAGTCTGTGTGTATAAGACACTCCCCCAATAGTCATTAGCATAAGAAAAGCTGGCTGAAGCGGAAAATGAAAGACATTCCACTTCCACTTTCAGGCATTTTTTTCCCTTGATGATCTGGGAAGACAAGTCTTGACTGCCTATCCGACTAATCCCAAACATCAAGCTACTGACCATGTGTAGATGAATATGCAAGTAGAAATGATTGGCTGTGATAGAGGTTAGCCAGTAATGACAATAAGCCAAATTTAACTGTTAAATTTTTTTTGGTCTTTTTGAGACGGCGTCTTGCTCTGCAGTTCAGGTTGACCTTGAGCTCACTTTGTAGCCCAGGCTGGTCTTGAACTTGCCGTGATCCTCTTGCCTCAGCCTCCTGAGTGCTGGGATTACAGGTGTGCACCACCATGCCTGGCCTAACTCTTAAATGTATCTCTTCAAAAACATGCTTCAAGGGTTTTGACAGTTTTAAATGGGTACCTACTCCCAGCTCTTAACATTCATAGGTAGAGGTGTTTGAGCTCTTATATGGAGCTGTACTGATTATCACACAGCAGCTTGATAGTTAATTGTACTTTTGACTATTCCCTGATTATCTTCTAAGCACAGATTTACAAGAGCATGTAAAAAAAGGGAAATATGTGACCCTTTTGCTTTAGCCATGAGTATAAAGTGATGAAACTACTTTCTGGTATGGATTATAAAGTTAGTTTGTAACCTCTTAATCCCATCACATACGTGTATGCAAGTTGCAAACATCCCAAATGAGGTACTTGAATTTTATGAGGAAAATGACAGTGAATATGAAATCTACATTCACTTTGTCTTTAAGGAGTTTAAAATTTAGATAATGCTTACAGGTTTTCTTAGGGTTTTGTTCGATTTTAAAACTATTATAACAGTTTGAGATGATAACTCATCCTCCACTTTGAAAAATGACCAAATGTATGGATTTCAGGGAAAATATTAAAAAAGTAATTTGAAGAATAGCTTATAAGAATATCTAGTAAAACTTCAAAGTAAAAGGTTGTGGAGTCATAGGAAAATAATTTGATAATAAGTAATCTTGTGAATTGTTCTATTTCTGAATGATGATCCACTCAGAATAAGCACACATCCATAAAGACATATTTTGCAAATGTATTTAGCAAATATCTAACTCTCATTAAAAAAAGATAAATATATTCACAGCTATACTAGGTAATACTGTTAATTTTTCTGTCACTATCAAAAGTTCTGCATATCAGAAACTTTTCATCAGCTGTAAAGTTACTTTTATTTATGAAAGAAAAAAAAATAATTGAAAATTACTGTCAGTTCTGAGAAAAACATCCTGTTAAGCAGATAAGCCTTGAACTGACAAAGAAAACCTTTTGATGATTCTTGCTATTTATTGTGTGTAGGTCCTGTAGAAATCATTACACATATTGCCTTCTCATATTACTTTCTACCCACAAAAACATCAAACAAAGATGAAAAAAAATAGAGGGCAATGACTTTATTAAGAAGCATTCTTTTCAAGGAGTCATTCCAAAGGTAAACCTAATTCTCTTTGGTCTTGAAGAATGTATAAGATCAGTTTCGCAAGTTTATGTGGAGCAAAACTATCCTGGGCACAAACAAATCTTTATTTTATTTTTTATGTCAGATGCCTGGATGTGGACTCAAGAATCTTCTAAGTAAGCAGAGAATTATAGCTTTAAAGGTTTTCAATTTGAAACTTGTAGTAACTGCTGTTTCACTTGACATAGTTTTCAGACTTTAAATTTACTAGATGACATCACACCTTTAAAATAAGAATTCCCAGGAAATCCTACTGCAGTATACATGCTGAAAATATTTTAATTATTATTAATTTGCTTTTATGGTGATTCAGAAGTAATCTCATGAAAAATAGCTTTTTATCATTCTGTTTCATTAACAGAATTGATAACAATATAGGATGAATCCCCGAACAGCAAAGAACATTTTAACTAGTTCTTCTTAAGATTAACTTGTAAACACTTTAAATTTAGCACAATAATGATTTCTAGACACTTCAGTTTCTAGAAAGAGATGGAAAAATTTGAATATTTCCAGAACCCTTTAAGAAATAAAAATATATGTAAATATACAAAAGAATTCCACCTTATATATAAAAAAAAGTTTCCCTTAAATTTTCTGAGTTTGTTTCAGTATCCAGTTAATACAGTAGAAATTACTGACTTTTAATTTTTGCAGTTTTATGGTTGGCTTTGCCCAAACTTCAACAGAATATTTCTTGACAAAACAGGAACTACTGTATCTATTTCTTTTGTCACAAGTACCCTCAGAGAGATTCAGCAGTCACTGATATTATTCTTTAAAGCACATAGAATTCAGGAACAATGGAGTAGTTTCAAGTACTATTTTGTAAGCATGATTTGGTCAGAATTCTACTGGTACCAAGATAGTTATATGGTAGTATTTAATTATCATTCTCCCACCCCACACAGAAGAAACCAGATTGTAAAGTTACTGACCTTGCAATGGGCGTAGCTTTCAGCTTGTGTACTGCAAAAGAGAGTACAAGAAGAGCTATTGGCAGCTTAAGGATGCACATTGCTTCCCAGATTTTCTGCAAAAAGTAAATCAGGCCTGAAATCAAGAAATTTCCTACAGTCCTAAGAGATGTAACTTCTAATTAGAGGCTAATTGTTTAAAAATTTCAAATATAAATTTAAAAAATATCAATTTTACTGATATAGTCCCTTAAAGCTATACAATTTCCAAATAATTTCAAAACATTCAATTTCCAAATTCCCTTCTCTAAACAATTGGAAAACTGATATTATAATGCATCAAATCTTTAACTTTTCTTTGAAATAAACCATACATTTTGCACCAAGTCTGTTTTACCCTTATCCAATAAGGCTTTCCCAGAAACAGGACATTCTTTACCTTTTAATGTTTCAGTGTCAAGAATATCAGACAATGCCCTTAATAGGAAGAAAGCTTCAGGGAAAAAGTCTAAGCTTGCATTCACTAGAGTATTTGCCCCTACCTGCTGGCTTATATACCCTTCACACCTTCTTCAGCTCTGCAGTCAGGCAGCTCAGAATGACTCTGTCCTTAATTATCATCCCTATAGATACAAGGTGCTTCTTAGCAGAAGCAGATGGGTCATAATTACCTTAACACAGTAAATATTAACACAGCAGAAATAGAGTGTCTTTGTGAAGCTAATGGTGTGTCAAGCTCAGTGAAAGTTTGAATTTTCCATCTTTGTAAACTCCGAGTTTACAAAGAATGAAATGTATGTTACAGTGAGGAACTGAGAAAAAGTGAATAAAAATAAATGCATTTCTGTGCAAAGAAGAAAGCCAGAGACGTGGTGGAAGTATAAAATTAAGTCCAAATGACGCCAGTGCATTAATACCATGGACATCTCAAAGTCTTTTCAAATATCATGGTAATGTATATTAAAAAGGGGCACAGGAGAGAAAACAACCATACTGAACCTGAACTTTTTTTCCTTTCTTCTTTTTACTAGTACATGTCTGCAGTACATGAAATTTACATTCATCTTAGGAAGTAGGTATGTGTACAGAATACAGTTAAGTTTCTTTTTAAATATCCTTTCCCTCTCCCGCCCACCTCCCTCCCTCTTCCTCTAAATCCTCCCCAAATTTTTTTTCTTTTCTTGAGACAGGGTTTCTTTGTGTAGTTTAGGCCGGCCTTGAATTCACTATGTAGCCCAGGCTGGCCTCAGATTCACAGCAATCCTCCTGCCTTAGCCTCCTGAGTGCTGAGATTATAATATGCACCATCATGCCTGCCTGGATCTTTCTCTATTTTCATTCTTTTTGATATTATTAATCCTGGTTCATGTGCATGATATATAATGTTCACATTCATTGAGGTGACTAGGTTCCGGCACTTGGTGAAGCTTAATTGTGTGTCCTTCTCCTTCCCTTCTCCCGTGCCTTTTGTCTCCTGAACCCTTCCTATTTGCAAGAAACTGAACATTTTGTAAAATTAATACGCACTAGTTAAAGAGTAAAAGACACAACAAAAGCCATTTAAAATGATGTGAGAGAAAATAAAGACATAAAGCAATAACTTTGTATCTAGAGATTTATCAGTATTGAAACAGATGCATAATGATATACAGTCCCATCTAGCTGTTGTCCGTGTCCTTTGAAGAAGACATAGGTACTGAGGAAGCTTCCCTGTTTCCTGATGACTGTATTTCTTTGTGACTGCATGAAGGCCATGCATTACTGAACCCAGTAATATACTGTAATTATGTTTCCTTTCTTAATCAAGCTCTTTTAAATTAATATTTGTCTCGGTTTTATTGTTTAGTTTTAGAGTTATAAATCTTCTCAGAGAATTGTAAAACCACTTTTCATATAATACTTCTATTTTATTTTCAGCACCCTCTTTCCCTGCCCACTGCATTGAGTCTCTTTCTTATAGCCTCTGTTCTCCTTCTTTGCTTCCAACTTACTGTTTCTGGTTAGTGATTAGGTTGTGAAGACTTTATTTGCAGGCCAGGTGCAGCAGGGCCAAGGGTGAAAAGACCACTGGCACTGAGCAAAGGGTGAGGGCATGTTTTATAGAGTTTAGGTAGAAAAGGACAGCATTGCTGAGGCGTGTACAAAATTTTGGGTCTCTAAGTAGGGGATCTAAGCCTAGGTGATAGATACGGTGGTGCTGAGTACAGGGAGTGCTGGCAGACACAAGTTTCTTCTGTTCTTTTTGCAGAATCAACTCTCTGCAGGTTAAGCTGTGTGGGGCAGAGGCCAGCTTTTTGTTGAATGCTGCACTCCTGCCACTGCGAATAACAGACCTACTTTAGGAGTTTTTCTCTCCTAGCCTGGTGCAGGTCTAGTCAGAGACCTGATAGTATTAATCTTGTACTACTTATAACTTCTTTCTCATCTCCTTAACTTTTTCAATTTCTTAGAAATTTTTAAAACTTTATTAACTTTTAAAGAAAAGATTAACTTGGCAATCACAGTTTGAAGTTTCAAGAGCCTTCTTTTCTGAAATTTTTAATAGCATTCTATGTTTGTTTCATTGATGTAACATATATCCTCTCTGAGGACACTATTTATAGCATTCTTTTTTGTAAATAATTTTTATTGCAGACTAATATTCTATTGTGTAAACTTGTCATCATGTGTGCTTGCCTGTTCATGGACTTTTGACTTGTTTCCAGTTTGAGGCTATTATAGATGAAGCTGCTACAAACACAGGAGTCTTGGTATCAAAATTTTTCTTTTCTCTTCCTTAAATATGTGGGGGGTAGGAAGCCAGTTAATTTTTTACAGTGAGTTGCTACAATGTTGACTGAGTGCTGTATACATGGATATAGCTTGCCAACTGATTGATTTTACTATAAGGTTATTGGATATGAAACGGACTATCTAGAGACTTCCAAGTATCAATATTTGATGTTTTTCAAAGAAAATTGAATTTTAATACAGTATTTTCCTCAAGGAGTGAATATCTTGGTTGGCAAGTTGGGGGGAAAACTTTATAATTTAATTGACTCCCCACTTTTAATTTGGTGTTTCACTTCTTCCCTTGTGGTGATTGGCCTCCACAGATCCAGGGTCTATCCAGTTTAACCTATGAAAAGATTAAATTATTGATGTAATGAGCAGTAGTAATGGGAAGTATAGAGGAAACCGCTCTTAAAATATATAGTAATTATATATATGTATATATATATATATATATATATATATTACTTCTATACTATACCCTTCCATATGAATTACCTGGGCATAAAAATACCTAGACTTTCAGACACAGGTGCAGTTAGGTTTGCTTCATGTTTACCCAGCCAAATGTAAGAATGTGAAAAGTAAGTCATTGTTTTGAGGCAATGAGTTTTAATAGGTTGAGAATCATGACTTTTTCAAACTATGATGGAAAAAATGGCTTTTGTTTCTGGAAGACACCGTGTACACATACTTTCGAAATACAGTGTGTGGGTAGTCATATTTCTTGTGAAAACAGCATGTGGATCCTCCCGTTGTAATCTCTGTGTTATAAAGGAAAGAAAAAGAAAGACCAATACTTCCAGACAAGGTTAGAAGTGGGCTAAATTAACATGTAGAACAGGTCTGGGACTTACTCTGTATATGTCCCATACATTTTTGTTGGTCTTTCAGAAGCCAGAAGAAAGGACAGTTTGGAGGCAGTGGCCAAAAGTGATAATTGTGAGCATTGTATTTCCAAGACTGTGGGGTCTCAAGCATAGCAGAGAAGTTAGTTTTGTAGGAAGGAGGGATGTAGACCCTGGATTGTGTGTTTATTCAGAATCTGCATTATGCTAGGCCTTGTTAAAACATTTTTGCACAATGTATCTTCAAACACTCTGTGATGTAGGGTGTTACTTTTACAGTTGAGTGTTCATGTGTCTAGAGAGTTAAGCAACTTTTTCAAATTCATGATAGAATGGCAAGGAAAATTTAACTGATCCACATCACGTACTAAAGTGCTCCAACCTGGCAGAGTTACAAAGAAGTTAAAGTATTATTTACTATAACTAATAGTGAGATTCAGGGAGAGGTTAACATGGGGAATTCGAGTGTTAATTTTCACTAGAAAATGACAGAAAATGATCAGCTGAAATTGGCCATTGTCTTGGCTTTTTCTTCTCTACTGACTGGCCAGTGGTATTCAGCTTGTCACTGGAAGCGGAGCCGGTGTGGATCTGCACTCCTGTGGTCCTAATCCCTCTCTCTGGTTTTGATAGCCTTGAAAGATGGTGTTCGGGAAGAATGGTGTTGCTTGCAGAAGACTTTCATATATGAGCTAAGCCTAAGAGGAGAACAAAAGCTTATACTCAGGTCCAGCAGGGCAATCACAACTCATCTCCCAGCACAGTCTCGGAACTTTGCTTTTATTTTTTCCATTGAGCACTATCAAGAAAATATGGAAAGAGGTCATTAATCTTACACACAGGTGAATCCTTAGACTAAAATGATTTTATTCTATGTAATATTATTAGGTAATACTATTATTATTCATCTTGGTTCTGAAGATCTTCAGTTCTTTAAAATCTTGTCCATATATATGATATATATGATACAGACATATGTGTATGTACATTTATAGATCATACATATGTACATGTATGGAATTTGTTTTACTTCAGATTCAGGAATGCTTTAAAATATCTGAACTATATTACAGTTTAATGTCATGCTAAGTAACTTCTAACCCAAGTAGGTGCTAAAATTAACTGCTTCTTTATAAGTGCTATTTATGAATGCTATGATTGGATCTAATTATAGATAGGAGTTTAAAGTGGTAATGTGTATAGTTGAAAAAAGTCTGATTAGGATTTGATTGTTTAACGAGACACTATAATAATTTAAGAGGCATACCCTGTAATTATGTTTTAGTATGGCTCAGACAAGTAGCATATAATTAAAGTTGAAATCTAGCTATTTCATATCCACTGTTGAAAAGTGTGATAAAGTATGCCAAAAATTCCTTTTAAGATTAGTGGTTTCACTTTAAACATAAATTGATTGGTTGAAAAAATTACCAAGTTCACTGAGATGCTTTTTACATACACCCTCCCATATTCCTCCCCTCCGCTCCTACAGGAACAATGAACCACACAATGGGGCAAAGTAAACAAGGAAAGAACTTTTTTATTTTAATGTTTCAGTATAAATGGGTTAAAGATATTTATTGCACTTGCATTTAGCTGTGGGTAGAAAAGCCTTCACCCATGTTTTCTGCACAAATATTTTGAGTGTCAGAGGCTTAATGCAGCAAAGTTTTGTCTATAGGTGATAGATGAGAAGCAAAAATGTGTGTTCACATGTAGATAATTTTGGCTACACACAGCCTTAACAGTACCCTAATAGGAAGATTAAAATACAATGCTGAATTCAGAGTCCTTCAATCAGATGATCTTTTGGAAATTAGTTGAATGGAGGGAAATGTGGTAATGATGTAGTCATTTCAAATATAGAATTCAT